ATTTGTATAAAGTTGAATTGATCAATGGTTTCTTTAATCATTTTGTTGATGTGGTAACTAAGAATACTTAGCCTAACTCCACATCATGAAGAGTTACTCTTATGTTTTCTACTGTAAGTTCTCTAGTTTTGCAGTTTACATTTAGTTCTGTAATTAATTTTGATTTAATTGTGATGCCAGTATTGAGGTTTAAGTGGATTTTTAAAATCTTTATTCAGTTTTTTCCTTCATATTTTATTTTAAGTTCCCAGGTACATGTGCAAGATGTGTAGGTTTGTTGCATAGGTAAACATGTGCCATGTGGTTTGCTGCACAGATCATCTCATCACCTAGCTATTAAGCACAACATCTATTAGCTACTCTTCCTGATGCTCTCCCTCCCCACAACCCCCACCCCTCACTTCTGACAGGCCCCAGTGTGTGTTGTTTTCCCATGTGTCTATGTGTTCTCATCATTCAGCTACCACTTATAATTAAGACCATGTGGCGTTTGGTTTTCTATTCTTGCCTTAGTGTGCTGAGGACAATGGCTTCTAACTTCAACCATGTCCCTGCAAAAGACATGATCTCATTCTTTTTTACGGCTGCATAGTATTCCATGGTGTATAGATACCATATTGTCTTTATTTAGTCTATCATTGATGGTCAGTGAAAGTCATAAACCTCAAATATCCCAGAAACATAGTGTATCCTAAGGACAAGAAACATGAAGAAATCTACTCCAAGGAACACTGTACTCACATTAATCAAAACCAGTGATGAACAGAAAATCCTAAGAGGAATAAAAGGAGAAAAAGCACATTACATACAGAGGACTAAATGAAATGATGACATTCTATTTCTTATCACAAACATTACAAAGTAGAAGTTTGCAATAGCTTTAAATACAGAAAAAAAAACACAAGCAATCAAAACTGAATATCTGAATAGACTTCTAAAACTAAAGAGATTGAATTAGCAATTAAAAAAAAAAAAAAAAAAAAAAAAAAAAAAAACCACATGCCAAGAAAAGCCTGGGCCCAGATGGGTTCACAGCTAAATCCTACCAAACATCTAAAGGAGAGTTGATATCACTTTTTCACAAACTCTTCCAAAATTAGAGGAGAGAACACTTCCCAGCTTATTCTATGAGAGCAGTATTACTCCAACACTCTAAGACATCACAAGAAAACTACAAATGAATAGTCTTTAAATACAGCCATAAAATCCTCAACAAAATATTAGGAAACTGAATCCAGTAACATTTGCATAAATTATACATGATGACCAAGTGGGATTTATCCCAGAGATACAAGGTTAGTTTAACATCTGAAAACCAATTAATGTAGTACCAGTAGAAAATAAACCAAAACTAATGTGATCATCTCAATAGACATGGGAAAGGCATACGACAAAATTCAGTATTCTTTTAACAAACAAGGAATAGAAGGGAACTCCTCAACCTGATAGAGGACATCTGTCAGAAAGCTTCAGTTAACATCATGTTTAGTGGGACAGACTGAATGCTTTCACCTTGAATTAGGAATAATACAAAGATGTACACTCTCAACACTTCTATTCAATGTTGTACTGGAGATAGTAGCCAGGACAATTAGGTAAAAGAATGAAATTTTTTAAAAAATGATATCCAGATTGGAATAGAAGTTAAACTACCTTTATTTGCAGATGATGTGTTCTCATATGAAGAAAACCTCAAGGAGTACACTAAAATACTACTAGAATTAATAAGTTCATCAGGGCTACAGAAAATGAGATCAGTACTTAACAATAAATTGTATTTCAGATTTTCAGATTAGGGATACTCAACTTACACACTTAAATCTCTGGACAGTGAAATCATGAGTATTATTTCCTCCATGATCTCCTATATTTTCTATATGGTATATATGTGCCAGATTCATAATCAGAAATGAAATTACTGAGATCATTTAAAAATAGCAAAGAAATTTGTATGAAGGAGATAATTTAAAGGTTGCCGGAAAAAATCATTCTAATATAACCCAGTTAACTAATGTAGTTTCTTTTTTTTTAAGATTGTTTAGACTGCATATAATCAAAATAAAACAAGTGTATTTTAATCTATTTTTAAAACTTAGTAATTTTATAAGAGTTGATTTTCTTAGTCACCACTGCTTTCATAAATAACCTTTGTTCTTCTAGGGGAGCACGGTAATATTTCAATGCAAGCAAAATGTTGTTTACAATGCTGTTCATTGATTCATCCTGTCAGGTCGCAAAAGGCTACCAGGAAATTTGTGAAAGATGTTTGGTGGGTAGCAGGAAGTTGTGAGGTTTAACACATAAATTTGGCTAAATAAAACTCAGACAGGTGCACATAGTAACCAGAACTCCAATTCATGCATGTGCAATCTCGATTACTGCAGCCCAGTCATCATTGGGTTGATAATGATTTAATCAACCAAATAGGTGACCCGGCTGGTGGCTCACACCTGTAATCCCAGCACGTTGGGGACCCGAGGCGGGCAGATCACTTGAGGACAGGAGTTCGAGACCAGCCTGGCCAACATGGTGAAACCCAGTCTCTACTAAAAATACACAAATTAACAGGGTGTGGTGACCCATACCTGTAACTCCCACTACTCGGGAGGCTGAGGCATGAGAATCCCTTGAGCCCAGGAGGCAGAGGTTGCAATGAGCCGAGATTGTGACATCACACTCCAGCCTGGGCGACAGAGCAAGACTCTGTCTCAAAAAAAT